GGGAAGCCTGCTTCTCCCTCTCCCACTCCCCCTGCTTGTGTTCCCTCTCTCGCTGTGTCTCTCTCTGTCAAATAAATAAAATCTTTAAAAAAATAAAATAAAATAAAATAAAGGTTATTTATTTATTTGAGAGAGAGAGAAAGAGAAGGAGCCAGCACAAGTGAAGTGGAGAGGCAGAGCGAGAAGGAGAAACAGACTTCCTGCTGAGGAGGGGGAGCCTGACTTGGGGCTCTGTCCCAGGACCCTGGGATCATGACCTGAGCCGAAGGCAAATGCTTAACCGACTGAGCCACCGAGGCGCCCCTCTGCAGGAAATTTAAAATAAAAGCCTGAGCGATTGCCTCAACATGTAGGTTAGTAAATGTCCGAGTCCCTCTGACAAGTGAGACCCTGCCAGGGGGATGTGTGGAGACGGAAGAAGTGAGGAGCAGTCACAGGGTTAAGCACTAGTTGCTTCCTTGGGGAGGGTCAGGCTCAAACCTGCTGCTGAGGCACTCACTCGTCTATTCTTCACAGTCAACAAACCATATTCACATAAATGTTTGCGAGTCAGACAGATTCAACTTAGTGGGAAGGAATTTAAGGTTTGTGAGGCAAAAAAAAAAACCTCTTGGCTTTTAAGTGGTCAATTTATAAAAATGCAGAGTATAGTTATGGAAAGGGGCCAAACCAACTTTGTTTTGTCATAAAGAGAAATTTGAGCTTCCCTCCGTAGATCACAGAATAAAATATCAGAACTGGAAAGCACTTCAAAATTAATCATCAAATATAACTTCCAATTTTTGTAGGTAGAAAAGTTGAGGATATGAGAAATTAAATAATAGCCAAAGATTAGTCTCAAAATTTGTCATTTAATAGGTTTTAATTCAAAGTACCATTAGTATTTAAGTTTTTAAGTTAAATTTAAGCCTACATCTGGCTTATGTAAGACAAAACTAATAATGAATTCTGAGATTGTGACACTCTTCTTGCTAAAAACTGGGAAATGGTTTTAATTAATGCAATCATAGGTGTTTTGAAAGACTCTAGATTTTTGAGGCTAAACTGTCAAAAACTAAGGTTAAGAATGAGGTGAAAATCTTGATAAAGCTAGAAATAGAACCATGTTGCTTCTTGCACAGTGCCTTAGGCATGAAAGATACTTAATAAATTTTTGTTGAACTGAATGGCTAACCCCTCCCTCCCTGCTCCCTCCAATGGGCCTTATAACCATTTAGAGAGGCAAACACTGTTTGCTTCAGGGTTTAATAAGCAAGATAACTTTATTAAATTAATAAAGGTGCATTAATTCATACCTGTCTAAATTTAGCTCTTGCTTCTTTTTCCTTCATTCTTCCATGTGCGACCAAATAGTCAAACACTTCACCTATAATCGAGAGAAATAAAAGTAAGAAGTCCTACTTCTGAGCATTAATTTTCCCACAAATTGATGATGTTTCACTTTTAGGAATGCTCTAATTTTTATTTTTAAATACAGCCATGAAGATAACAGAAACGTAGATTTTGAACTAAGCTAGCCTTAAGTTTAACTATAGGCAAAAGTTCTTTGATAAAATCTTTAAGTTAGAGAAAAATCATTAAAATTTCCTATGTTTATAAAACTTTTATTTTAAGGGTTATGTTTTCAATGTGCTTTAATAAAAACTGAAAGTTAAAATGGGAAAGTGATATGTGTTAAAAGAGGATAACATCTTCACTGTAGGATTACGAAAAAAGCAGTTCCTGAATATATTAATTAATTAATTCAACAAATATTTATTGAGTGCCTACTAACTGCCAGGCACTGTTCTAGGCTCTGGGGAAATACAGCAGTGAACCAAGTGAAGTCCTTTTCCTCATGGAGAATTTACATTCTGGTAGGGAGAGACAGGCAATCAACAAAAAAGCAAATAGTATGTCAGCTGACAAGGACAGTGGAGCAGACACAGGGGAAGAAGCAGGAAGTGTGTCTGCATGTGCAAGTGCTTTGGGGACTACTATGAGGGAGAGGACACTGTCATTATCTGGGAAAAAGAGTCTAGGCAGAGCAAATAGCAAAGAGCAGAGCAAATAGCAAATAGCAAAGAACAAGGAAAAGGGAAATTAGTGGACGGGCATGGGAGATGGGAAGGAGGGGTAAGGCCATGAAGAGTCCTGCAGGCTTTGCTCTGAGTGAGGAGAAGCAGAGGAGGCTATGAAATGACTGATCTCTTAAAAGGGTCACTCTGGCTGCCAGAGGGGGAGGAGGTCAGGGTTGCGGAAGGGACAGAAACATGAGGGAGTAGCGCAATAATCAGGGCAAGAATGAGGGAGGCTGGGCCTTGAGCGGGAAGTGGCAGTGGTGGTAAGAAGTGGGGAGGTTCGGGACTCAGTGGGAAGGTCAAGCCAAGAGAACATGCCCAACAGAACATGCTGGTGGACATCCACTTGGTAGTTTACACAGTGTTAATTCCTCAGGGAAGAGGTGACACTTCAGGAAATACTTGCTTATCAACTGGGTATAAAGAAACAATACCTCTGAAATCAACAGAAAAGGGTACTAATTGAGCAAATTAGACATAAAATATGTTTGGGAAAGAGTCACATCTACTTCATACAAATAAAGAATATTTCCATCGGCTTAGTGACAACATTCAACTAAAAGATTTTGATACTTAAAAAATGCTTAGTTTCAGAACATAACAAATACTTTTGAAGAAAAAGTTATTCTGAATTACATATTAATATCTCTAACTTTTAAGTTTTTAGCCTAGCTGAAACATTTTTAAATAATGGACGGGCATAAATATTTTCAAGTTATCACTTGATTGCATAATGATCTTTTAAAATGCATTACATATTGTTAATTCACACTACACAACTCGTTTAACTATGATGAATCATGAAGTTAAATGTCAGCTCAGTAAAATGTCAGCATTTTCTAAGCAAATGACCTTTCTATTTGCAGAGTAGTATACAATGTCAAAACAAGTGGTTAAAAAGTGAAAACAACTAAAGATGTGTGCATATCATATGAAAAACAGTTTTGACTTAAAAAAACTAATGGATTAAACCCACTAGTTGCTGTACCCACTAGCTGTTGTAGAGTAACATGGAGAAAAGTCTAAGTCTGTCAATATAATTTTTAAAAATTTTTATAAATTCAAAAGCAATATAAACCTCTTAAGAGATTTTGGAACCATAAAGTCATACTCACAATCACTAAATTATAAATCAGGAATTCAACCCAGATCACTTTGTTTTCCTTATTAAAAATGTATTAGCATTCAGATTAAGTAGCTAAACTGAAAACCTCAAAAGGCTATTTATTAGGAAAAAGACAGAAAAGAGTGGCTCTCCCCACCCAGGTCAGGGACCATGTGGTTGAGAGGACACTGGACAGGTCAGTTCAGAGAGCCCTTGGTCCTAGTTGGGGTCCTGCCACTAAACAAGCAATAGAACTGCTGGCACAGAACAACCTTTCAGAGCTTTAGTTTTATCTATAAAAATTAGGCAGTTGCCTTCGATGACTTCTAAGATTCCAAGTGTAAAATTCTATGATTCTACGAAATCGAAAAATACCAGGCTAGGGAGGAATAGATAGTCAATTTAATGAGACTCTGGTTGTTCCAAATGACAAATGTAACCACAAAAAAACAGATGTCCTGGAGATTGATAGTGCTTTGTTGAGCTGATTAAAATAGCCCAAGCCAAAAAAGCACCACCACTAAGAAGCTCAGAGACATGTTGACTTATCAGGTCACACTGTCAATGAGAGGCCCTGGCTGGACTGACCCCATGTCTGTGTTTTCAAAAGCCCACCCTCTTTCTACTAAAAGTGAATGCTTCTCAGATTAGTTTTGCCCCTATATAAGAGCAATCTCTATGACACTAACACCTAAAATAGATGGAAAAGGAAAGTCATGACCAACTGACCAATTAGGAGAGCCTATCTACTGTCAGAAGGCTAGGGCTGTGGGCCTGGCAGCGTGACCACAATGACTTCCCAGCCTCCGTTTCCTCAAGGATAAAAGCCTATCCTTCACTGCCTGGCCACATCACGGAGTCATTGTGAGGGTCAAAGGAGATCCGGTGAGAGAAAGCTACACAAATGAAAAGATTATGAACATAACTCTGTAACACGAGGAGAAAGTATTAGAACTCCATATAGATTTTTGGCGCTGCAATTCAGTTTCAGCTCTTCCTACTTCTCCTCAATTGTGAAAAATCCCAACCTAAATTCTCAAACCACACATTTAAACTCTAAATCACACAACTAATAATGAATTAGGAGTATGAAAAAGCGGCATCAAAGGTTTTCCTATTGTAACTCATTCCTGCCCACAGCAGGTTTACAATCTTTTATTTAATAGTTAATTCATTACAACGAGGCTGTGACTGAATCTTCTGTCTGATCAAAGTGCTAAGATAAAATAAAACTACTATGAGCAAAACTGTCGAAGCTATACTTATGCCCCTAGTTAAAGGAGTATGTCCCTAGTAGTCTGTCCTTTCATAAGCGCACTTCAATCCTTACTTGTTAAGCACTGGCCACGTGCCAGGCACTATCTAGAGGTGTAGAGGTAGGGGGCACACAAAGACCAATCAGAACGCTTCTGCTCTCCACACACAAGGAGACTTACATGTGGTCCAAAAACTACAAGCCTAACCCAACTTCAACCCCCAGAGGAGTAACTCTGTAAAAGAGAACAGTTATATACATGCATTTCAGAAAAATGACTACATGTATATAGTCTTGTAGGCCAAGTCCTTAATCTTTAAGGAAAATCTAAATATATGCATTGCAAGCACCATTTCTGGCCTTGGGAAAGATGAACATCAACGACACAAAGAAAACCATCCAATAGGCAGTACACATTTATTTCAAACAAGCTAATGCACTGATATATTTAAAAATCCAAGTTCTTAAACAAAATGTGGTGTGCATATATATACATAATGGTATATTATTCAGCCTTAAAGAGGAAGGAAAACTCTGACAGGGATGAACCTTGAAGACATTATGCTGAGTGAAGTAGGCATAAAAGGACAAGTGCTGTGAGATACCACTCATATGACTACCTAGAGCAGTCACATCCAGAGAGACAGGAAGTAGACCGGTGGGCACCAGGGGCTAGGGAGGAGGAGAGGGCAGTTAGTGTTTAATGGGGACAGAGTTTCAGTTTGGGAAAATGAAAAAGTTCTGGGGATGGATGGTGGTCATGGCTATATAACAATGTGAATGTACTTAATGTCACAGAACTGTACACTTAGAATGGTCAAAATGCTAAATTTTATGTTATGTACATTTTACCACAATAAAAAAAAATCCAAGTTTTGGATATCATTAATAATGCTAATAGTGAACTACAGAAGAGCCACAAAAGAGCCAAGACAGCTTTTCTGATTCTCATGCTACTGTATTACCTCATGCTACTGTATTACGACTCCGGTTATTAAATGAAACCTTAACAATGATCCATGTGGGCAGTGTGGTTGTGTATTCTTCTAAAAAGGGAAGAAAGAAAGAAAAACCATAGAAGTTTCTTACCTCCACTTGCATACTCCATGATTAGGTAGAGCGTTTTGTCAGTTTCAATGACTTCGAACAACTTCACTGGGGGAGGGGAAAGGATATGGGAGAAAAAGAAACAAACGTCTGTATGTATATACACTGTACATATAAACTGTAAGTACTAAAAGAAACTTTTTCCCTGTTAAGGATTTTTGTAACTGGCTGCCTTAATAGAATGTTTTTTGGGAATTTTATCATATATTACAACAACACATTTTATAAAAGCATGGAATTCCATAAAAATAAAGATATTTCTGGGTGCTCAAACAATGTAACTTTGGCATGCACTCAGCAGTCCAGGCTGTGTACCTACTCACATCTCCTCTGTCCTCATCCTGTATGGTGTCTACACTGGTTAGCTGCCCTCCCAGCAGATTGTGCTTTTCCCTCAGGAAAAGGGTTCTTACTTCACATTCTCGACCTGCAGGAACTGCTCAGATCTACTCTACTTCTCCAAGTTTAAGTGCGTTCACTTGTCATTATGGCTTTAAGGATATATAGAACAATTTCACTTGAGACTTCTGTTGCTTGGGAAACTTCTGTTCACTCCTTCTCAGAGAAAAAGCTTCTTTTGTTACTATTCTGAAGCCAGAGATGGAAAGTAGTAGAAGGGATTATGCTATAGTTAATTGAAAAGAACTTTTTAAAGAATTATTTGCAATGGGTCATTGTGACTTTGCTATACAGCAGTCCCTTGTTACAGACTGAAATCATATTTCTATTACTTTTAATTCACAAAACCATATCAAACCAATCAGAAATATACACATTTTAAAATGAAACTGAAGTACATTTCTAAAGCTACTGACTCACTATTTTCCACATCTACTTTATTTTGGTAATACATACTCTAAAGTTAAATTTACCAAAAAACAGGGGACAGGCTGCTAGTCTCTTATATTGCAGGCTATTTTCTGACACTTTAATATAGAGTATCAGACCAAATAAAGTGCCTAACACAGTATGTAATACATGTTTGTTGCACTGATGAATAAAACTATGTCATTTCTAAAATGGTATGTTCAGGTTGTCAGGAAAAATAATTTAAAGAAATTTAAGGCATATGTGCTGGTAAACCATCAACATACAAATAAAATCTTTCTAAAATTCCAATGCAAATATTGGCTCTTCTGGAAAAACTATCTGAATCCAATACAAATTTAAATTTTTAGAAATTCATATCTATTATCAAAGACATGTTATTTGGGAGTAAGCAGAGAAAACTCTAATCAGGGCACAACTTAATAACTAAAGAACAAAATAACTATGTTTAAGTTAGCTAGTTCTAGGCTGCAGTGATTGGTTATTTGGTGAAAAGCTGGAATCTGAAGCCAAGAATTAGCTAGCTAACCCCAAAGGGCTGAAATGAAAAGTGAAGAAAGGTTTCTTCCTGTTATTATATTCCTTGTTATTTTTCTCCCAACACTGTATTTCACTGATTCTAAGATTAAATTTTTTCACATTTTAACTAATATCACTAAGAATAAGATGACCGCTTGGTAGAATTTTTTTCCTTAGCAGCATGTAAAACCAAAAATGCCTTTTAAATGATGTGGCTTAGATCTGATGAAATAGGGTATATATAAGCTTTTCCTTCCAGTGGCTCCATTTTATCTTCTATTCTTGTGCCTTAAGAATTCTTGATAGGGGGCTCAGATGGTTAAGCGTCTGCCTTCGGCTCAGGTCATGATCCCAGGGTTCTGGAATCAAGCCCCGCATCGGGCTCCCTGCTCAGCAGGGAGCCTGCTTCTCCCTCTCCCTCTACTGCTCCCCCTGCTTGTGCTCTCTTGCTCTGTCAAATAAATAAATAAAATCTTAAAAAAAAAAAAATTCTTGATAGGAAATCCGTTAACATCAAACTTCGTCCCTCCCACTTCCTAGAACTTATTTTGATATTAAAGTGGTAAAAGTGGCTGTCTTAACAGCTATTTCATTCTTGAAATAATAACAATAAAAAAGTTATATTATTCAAAAAGAGCTCTACATTTTCATTGAGATGTATATACAAAATACTAAGTAATTTGCATACTTTCACCTTGTTCCTATAATTATGATGAGAGCAGGACCATGACCCTTCCTCATCCTTACTTATTTACTTATTTTTAAGTAGGCTCAACACCCAACATGGGGCTTGAACTCATGACCCTGATGATCAATAGTCACATGCTCTACTGACTGAGCCAGCCAAGCGCCCTATACCCCTCCTTTAAACCCAACTCACTGAACCTAGCACTGAGCTATGCACACAGAGGGCACATGAAACATACCTGTGCTATACAAAACAATTCCTTAAAAAATTCCATTAGATAGCAGGTATCCTATATCTTTTAAAATACAATTCAATGGACAAGTAATTTCTTAAGAACACTGCCATAGCAAAACCTGTTATACCTTTGAAAAGTTTTTTTTTTTTTTTTTTTTTAAGATTTTGTTTATTTATTTGACAGAGTGAGACAGAGCGAGAGCAGGAACACAAGCAGGGAGAGTGGGAGAGGGAGAAGCAGGCTTCCCGCAGAGCAGAGAGCCCGATGTGGGATCTGGGATCATGACCTGAGCCGAAGGCAGACGCTTAACGATTGAGCCACCCAGGCGCCCACCTTTGAAAATCTTAACTCTGACTTACTATACTATAATTCCCTTTTCCATATATGAGTTAAATAAAATTATTTTCTAATATGCATTAAAAATTGGAAAGTTATGATCTGATTAGTTTCTACTGCATTAAAGCTTTAAATTCAAGAGTTTAATACCTAAGCTTTTAACTTGTCTTTAGTAATTTCAAAAAGTTAATACAAATAATCAACAATTTGTATAAATATATATTTTATGAAAAGTGTACCTGGGCTGGGAGGAGGGAAGGAATCTCCTATCACTCTTGGCATATAGGTTTAGACCCCAAATGGAATGCATTTAGACCCAAAAGTATTTAAGAAAGCAGAAAATACCTATGTTTGGATGATTTAAAATCTTCATTATTCTTACTTCTCTGAAGAGCTAAAAAACAAACACATAATTCCCCAACACAGGTTATTAAACATTCTATTCCACTGTTGCGATACAAATTTAAATTTTCTCTTAGATAACTGACCCACTGGTAATATTCAACAGTCTGCATCTAACACTAGCATGAAAGTCCAGAGAAGCTATAAATGCTTCAGTTTTAGCTCCTGGAAAAGCAGAAGTTGCAGAGGAGGATGATACCACAATCTTAATTATATTTTGCTATCTTGAACATATAAGATCAGATTTAGGCAAGAATAGTTTGTGATTAAACTCAGTCTGATTCAATACCTACCCAGGGGTAGATATTGCAAATCCAACCGTGTATAGTCCTAATGAACTACATCATGAGTGTATTAGGACTGATAATTCCAAGTAATTCTAGGAGAAGATTTTTTCAAAACCACTTTGGGAAATCCTTGTTGGAGAAGACAGGTAATTTAGCATGGCAGTTGTGGCAGACTGTTAAATTAATGGTCCTAATGAGTCCTGCCTCGCATGTTCACATTTTTGTATGGGCTGTGTGACTTGCTCTGGCCAATGAAACATTATCAAATTTGATATCATCCATCCAGCAAGAAGAGGGTGGATAAATGCTTGCGTATCCGGTGCTTGCTGTCTTGGAATGATGTTGCATTCATATGAAGAGGTCAGTCTAGCCTCTTTGAGGATGAAAGAGTATATGTAGGGAAAGACCCACTGTCCCACCTGAGTACAGCCCCATCAACCTGTCAGCTGAATGCTGCCACACAAATGAACCCAGAGGATGCCATAAGAAAAACCATCCAGGTAAGACTGGTAGAGCTGCCCAGCCATCACACAGAATAAGGAGAAATATTAAACTGTTGTTGTATAAACATGTGCTGTGAATGCACAAGAGAGTCATGGTGTTATGGCCTAGGCTAATATCAGAAGATCTCAGAAAATAACAGAATTTTAGAGGCCATCTTAGCCAAACCTCTTCCAAACAAGTGGAAACCAGGAAAGGAGAGGAAAAGATCTCCCAAGGTCCTGTTCTCTTTCTGCGGGGAATTGGGCCAGAACCAAGGTCTCCCAACACCCAGTATCTATAACCTATGGGAGGCACGGGCTGGGAAGAACTTGGGAAGAGGAGGAACAGCTGGCTATGTGGAAAGGAATCTGGGGAGAAATCACAGGGGTCTTATTGCACTTGTCCCATCTACCACATCTAATCTAGAATTGAATCAGCACCTAACAACTAAGAGCATGGAGATGGACATGGACGTATCTGACCTCTAAACTGATCTGAGAGCTTAAAAACATGGAGTCAGATGAGTAAGATTCCTTTCCTGAATACTGGATCTTTTCTAAAGGCTGGAGCACTTTTATCTCCAACACAAATATCTCCTGCTGCTTTTGTGGTCATTCTCACAATTTATGTTCTGAGATGAGAAGACAGCTACCCTGACCACCGCTCAGGCTTGAGTTCTTTATCTTAGTTTCCTTCTGTCAAGCCAACACAGAAACCCTGTTTTCCAATTCATTATAGTGGAATTTGTAGCTTATAATCTGAATGTCCTAGTTATTTCCACAACTGCTAAAGTAGGAGAGCTCCAAGTTGGATACAATACCAACATGTTAGGACCCTGCATTTAGTATAAAACCCAGACCATGGCCATGGTGGCCTCTACTTCTCCCTGCAACGTGACACTCCTCCAGCCACCCTGATTCCTCTCAGGTATCAGAACATTCGAACTTCTTTCTTTCCTTAGTCTTTTCTCCTTTCTGTCCTTGTAGTCTCAAGCAGATTCTCTGAAAACCTTATCTAAGAAGATCTCCTTTATTTTACATCATAGTGGTCTGTTTGCTTCTTCTCTAGAATGTCTTTCAAGTATAAAGATACATTTTTGTGTACCTGCTCATTGTTGCCTTGTCATCCGTGTGGGGTGGGGGGAGGTACATTGGTCTCCTTTCACTACTGTATACTTGAAACCAAGCCTGGCACACAACAGGAACTCGTTTGTTTGATAAATGCCTCTATGAAAGTACTAACTACCAAGAAGTGTGGTTTGAGCCAGCCTCCTTAGCATTCTAATGACCACCCTGCTTTTAAATCCTGAGTAGCAGGATGCTTGGTGCAGAGCTGTCACCGTTCTGCTGGCAGGAGAGCAGGTCAAATGAAGGCAGTCATTTTTAAATACCTACTAGCAGTGCAGCAAGGAAACAAAGTAATCAGAGCCACACGGCAGGAAAAGACGCGATATTACAGGAATTCAAGAAAGGCAGAGCTCACTTTAGTCTGGGGTAGCAGATACCATGGAGGTGACCAGACTCATGCAGGACTCAAAAAGATGTCCACAGTAAAAAATGAGCTATGTGTGCTTTATATATGTGAGCAAAGATATGGTGTGGTCAATTAAGACTATTTATTTAAGGAAGACCAAGTGATACCTCTGGCAGAACAATGCATTTCCAGGTGTGGATTTCAGGTCACCTGCATCAGAATCATAAGGGTGTTTGTGCAAACTCCAGGTCCCTGGGCCCTACCTCTTGCTAGATCTGAAGTGGGATTAAGAATATTACTTTCAGCAAGCACCCTAGGTATGGTGGTTTTAAAACATGTCCACAAATTCTTTGACAATCCTCCCTGCAAAAGACAGAACTTCATATTCCTCTCTTTTGAGTGTGGGCTGCACTTAGTGATTTGCTTCTAACGAAAAGAGTAAGGCAGAGGCGATGGTGGGGGACTTGCAGAGAATGCCTAGGTCCTATGGCTCCCTCCATGCTCTCAGAGATTACTCGCTTGTGTGTCGTGGGGACATTAAACACCTCGATGGACAGACCCCCAGATGGCAAAGTACTGAGGCCTCATGCGCACAGCTGGTGAGGAACTGCAGCCCCTCAAGAGAGCCAGGTGAGAGGGAAGCAGACCCACCAGCCTCATCAAGCCTTCAGATGCCGGAATTGTGGCTCTTACCCAAAACTTCTTGAGAGCACCTGTGCCAGAACTTACATATAAGTCACTCCCAAACACATGACTTGCAGGAATGATGAGGTAACAAATGGCTTTGTTTCAGTTGCTCAGTTCTGGAGTAATTTGTTAGAGAGCAGCTGTTAACTGATACACTACAGACAACCCATGAGTTACAGCGGAGGTCATGCCAAGGCATGTGTTGTGAAAACACAGAGGAAAGGTAAATGGCACCAGACAGAGGGATGGGTCGTACAAGCTTAATTCTGGAGGCAGAAAGAATAGCCTCAGATTCCCTAGTAGGATAGTGTCAGGATATTACCAAATAACTTTACATATTTACCTCTATCAGAACTGTGTTTCAGGCAGAAAGTAGTTAATAAATCTACAGCAAGTTAATCAAGGAGGTGGAGAGGAAGCAAGAAGCCAACAGCTATGAGGTGTTAGGTGTCCACTGTGCCTAAAGCACAAAGCTAGATGCTTCCATCCATGATCTAACTTAATGTTCACAACTCTGTCTGGTGACTGTGATCACCTCCAATGCATAGGAAGGAGAACTGAGCAAGTTGAGAAACATGTCCAAGGACTCCCAGCTAGTAGGTGCTGGAGCCAGGACTCTAGGTTTACTGACTCCAAGGTCCACACTCATCTCATGATGCCATGCAGCTGCCTTCGAAATTTACAAGTAAATTCATTGATAGATTATAAGCTGCTGGTACAGAAAATTCCAGAGCAACAGATGGGCACTGGCACAATTTTTAAAAGTTGACAATCTGCATATAAGTGATAAAAATGCCAGACATTTTGGGGGAGACAGAGGAAAAAACCCCCCAAAAAACAAAAACCCCACAACAACATGCCAGAGATTTCATATATTTGTATCAACTATGAACCTCATAGCTGAAGACAGTTAAATTTGGATAGAAGTAACTTACTGAAGAGAAGGCTTATGAAATTTTAGGGAAGTCCCTATTAGGATTATAGGGACATGTTTTTTTTAAAGTTTTGTTATTATAAAAGGACACTTAAATCCACCTACTTCTATCTTAATTCAACTTCTTTACATTCCTTTTCAATCTTATGCAGATGCTAGTTGTAAAAAACAAAATGAAATAACACAGAAATATATGAAGTGTAAGAATTCTCTCCTCACTGACCAATCTGCAACCTCCTAACATCTTCAAGTCCTCTAGGAACCAGTACCCAGGAGGAGAACAAACATGTTCGAAGGCAAAGATTTGGGATCCTGTGATCAGAATACCAAGGACACCAAATGTATAGTACCACAGAGTAAAGAGATGTCCCAACAACCAGGACTTGGGATGCCCAGGAATTATCTTTGGAAAAAGACAATTTAACAAACAATGAAAAAGTAAAGTGAGCATGTAAAAAAGAACATGGGAGGGGTCACATAAAACTGTTACCTAAATCATGATGGTGAAAGTATTCAGACTCCCCTCTCCAGATATATAATAGGTACAAGACAGAAGGACCAGGCTGTGACACTGAGAGCCTGTACTTTTCATGGCAGCGGAGTGACAGGCTGAATGACAACTTACGTGTTAGAAATAATGAAGTAAACATAATAACCACCCTCTTCTTGAACAGAAAATAGCCATGCTATAAATCTAAGATTCGTGGGTAATTATCAGCAGTCTCGGATAAAGAGAAGGAGACACAGTCAGGAAACATTCAGGGGGTAAAGGAGAGGAAGGCCAAGTGGGCACTGATACCCCTATGTGGGTCTGGGTGCCACTCTGAGACAGAGAAGACATGACAGGCTGCAGCAAGGCAGACGGAGTTGCTTTTGGACATGGAGTGTGAGGGCGCTTTAGGCCAGTGAAAGTGCATGGTATTTGGGTCTGGAGCTCAGGAAAAAAGGCTGGGACAGAGATATGTTCTGTAGAATTACCAGCATAGAGATGGCATCCTTGGAAGGAAGTAACACTGCCTAATTGTGCAGGATGAAAAGACAGAACACCAAAAAGCAAACATTTCAGAGACAAAAGAACTGGGGCCCACAATGGAGACTCTCAGAGAAGAAGGCAGCCAGAGAGACAGA